TGTGTGCTAACTGGCTTAGCACTCTCCATGTTGAACCCTTTTAGCACTTTTTCAACATACTCCTCTTGTGACAACTTCAACTTCATGTTTGCCCTGTTCCTATTAATTCGCATCCCAAGAATTTTCTTCGCAGAGCCCAAATCCTTCATTGTAAACTCCTTTGACAGTTGTGTCTTGATATTAACAATCTCATCCATGCTTGAACTTGCAATAAGCATATTATCTACATACAACAAAAGTATGAGATATGACGTACCAAGTTTCTTAATATAACAACAATGGTCCTCATGACATCTACTAAATCTCGTAGTTGCCATAAAGGTATCAAACTTTTTATACCATTACCTCAGAGCCTGTTTCAACCCATACAAACTCTTCCTCAACTTGCACACCTGATTCTCCTTATCTTTCACAACATAACTCTCTAGCTGATACATATAAATATCCTCCTCCAAATCTCCATGAAGGAAAGCAGTTTTGACATCCAATTGCTCTAAATGCTGGTTCTCAACAGCCATAATATTAAGGACGTATCTGATAGTAGAAATCTTAACAACAGGAGAAAGATTTCAGTATAGTCTATACCTTGTTTCTACTCAAAACCTTTAACTATCAACCTTGCCTTGTACAGTTTGCTTCCATCATATTCTTCCTTAATCCTGTAAAACCACTTGTTGTGCAAAGCTCTCTTTCCCTTGGGCAATTGAACCAATTCTCAAGTCTGATTTGATGAGAGAGAATCCATCTCATCATCCATTGCAAGCTCCNATTCTTCCTTAATCCTGTAAACCCACTTGTTGTGCAAAGCTCTCTTCCCCTTGGGCAATTGAACCAATTCTCAAGTCTGATTTGATGAGAGAGAATCCATCTCATCATCCATTGCAAGCTCCCACTCCTTTTTGGACTCAACTTGCAACGCTTCCTCAAAATATTCTAGTTTACCGCTATCAGTTAACAACAGATAATACAAAGATGGAGAATAACGTGCTGGAGGTTTTACTGTACGTGTAGTCCTTCTAGGAAGAGGAGTCTGTGGATCTGCCAGTGGAATAGATTGTGTATTAGTATCCTGAGACTCTAAGACATTTCCGTTAGGGATCCCCTCAAACTCTACAAAGTTTGATTTTACCTCAGCTTCCTTGGGTTGACTTAGTCTGTTTTTTTACAAAACTGACTCATTAAATACCATATCAATACTCTTGCGTGTTTTTCGATTCTCAAAATCATACAACCTATACCCATAACTATTAGTATCATAGCCTATGAGCACGCACTTACGAGACTTAGCATCAAGTTTATCTCTATCCTCCAATTCTATATATATATAAACAATGCAACCAAAAACTCGTAAATGAGATAAGTTTACCTTCTTGCCTGTCCAAGCCTCCTCTGGTAATCCATAATTCAACGGAACTGAAGGTCCCCTATTGATCAAATATACAACAGTGTTTACTACATCAGCCCAGAATTGCTTAGGTAACTTGGCATGTAACCTCATGCTCCTTGCACGCTCTAAGATCGTCATGTTCATGCATTCAACAACTCCATTCTGCCTTGGCTTCTTTGGGACCGTTTTTAACCTTCAAATCTCATTCGCAGCACAGTAAGCCTCAAACTCATTGCTACAATACTCACCACCATTATCTGATTTTAGGCACTTCAATTTTATTCATGTTTCATTCTCAACTAATGCTTTCCAATTCTTGAAAACATCAAATACATCAGATTTATGCTTAAGGAAATAAACTCATAGTTTTCTAGTAGCGTCATCAATGAAAATAACAAAATAAGATGAACCGCCAAGAGAAGATACCTTTGATGGATCCTACACATCGGTATGAACAAGCTCCAGCTTCTCCATCTTCAGAGTTCTTGCCACCTTTGTGAAGCTTGCCTTCTTTTGTTTCTTGAGAACAAAATCCTCACAGAAGTGCAAATCCAATGACTTACAACCCGACAATTTTCCCTTCGATATCATTACTTTCATCCCCTATTCGCTCATGTGACCTAGCCTATGATGCTACGTAGTGCAATCAATCCCTGATGTTGTTACCGTAATTGTACAGTAAGTACCCGGAGATACATATAGAGTTCCTTTCTTTTTACCACGAGCAAGTATCAAATCCCCCTTACTCATCTTCCAAGCATCTGATGTAAACGACGTGACCGCTCCACCCTCTAACAACTGACCCACTGAAATAAAATTTCTTGTTAAACTAGGCACATGTCCAACATCCTTCAATTTTAAAACCGTCCCATCTATCTGAGTAATTTGTACATCCCCTTTCCCAACAATGTTGTAGGCTTCATCATTGCCCAAATACACTTTACCAAAGTTTTCTTGCATATAGTTTTGTAGTACATCCATGCGNTGACCCACTGAAATAAAATTTCTTGTTAAACTAGGCACATGTCCAACATCCTTCAACTTTAAAACTGTCCCATCTATCTGAGTAATTTGTACATCCCCTTTCCCAACAATGTTGCAGGCTTCATCATTGCCCAAATACACTTTACCAAAGTTTTCTTGCATATAGTTTTGTAGTACATCCATGCGTAGAGTAGCATGAAATGAAGCTCCAGAATCTACAATCCAAGATTTACTGCGAGAATCCAGTGAACAAATCAAAGCATCATTATTAGACTCGTCAGCAATATTAGCAGTATTTTTACCTCTTTGATTATTCCCATTCTGCTCCTTTCTTGGTGCCTTGTAGTCCCATTTCCAATGCCGCTTCTGACCACAATTCTAGCAGCCGTCATCTCCGCCACGAGATTTACTTCGGCCTCTATTTCTTGAATACGACTTTCCCTTGCCTTTTTTGTTGCCTCCCTTATTCATAGCCATGCCTCTCTCTTCTGTATTGAGTGCTGAACCTGAAACAACATCCTCACTCGATGCTCTTCTCCGAGCCTCCTTTCCTAGTATCAATGTCACAACATCCTCCAATTTTATCTTTGCAGACCCAGAAGAATTGCTTACTGCCACGACAAGTCCATTCCAACTTTCTGGCAGACTTGATAAAAGGACAAGAGCTCTAATTTCATCATCAAAAATAATACTCACGGATTCTAACTAATTTGTGACCATATTAAATTCGTTGATATGTTCAGCAACAATAGTATTTTCAGACATCTTTAAGTTAAACAACTTTTTCATAAGATATACCTTATTTACCGCTGAAGGCTTTTCATACATCTTTTCTAGGGCTTTGAACAAATTTGATATAGTCTTTTCTTTGGCGATGTTCGACGCAACTAACGGTGTGAGGCACAGTCGTACAGTCCCTGGGGCTTTGCGATCCAGAACATCCCATTTGCTTGATCCATATTCTCTAGCTTCGTCCCATCGATAGGTTGATACAGAATATCCTCCATCTGCATCTTCCAAAATGCGTAGTTCGTGCCATTAAATTTTTCGATCTTAACTTTATCTTCAGCCATTGTGTAAACCCTTGACCTCTTAACCCAGAGCTCTGATACTAGTTGTTGAGATTTAATACGCTTTAAACCCACAGACAAACACACACAATCAAAGAACAAACCAAGTATATAAAGTAATAAAAAACAAGAAAGAACAAGACACAAAGATTTTACGTGGTTCGACAATTTGCCTACGTCTAAGAAGCTGCATGATTTTCACTATTGAGAGAGAGGATTACAGAGAACGGCTATATATCGATCAAACCCTAATCACCAAAGTAGCGGTCTTTTATATGTCCTACGCACCGGGCTACAAGCAGACCCAAAAAATTTTCCTTACAGCTTGGGCCGATATCCATGGATCAAGCCTCAGAAAATTTCTCATTAAAAACCATGCAACATTACTTCGGGTTGGGTCATCATCTAAATCAACATACAAATTAGACTCCACAAAGACCCAACATAGGTTTTACTTAGGAATGTTTTTAACGAGGTAGTGCTTATGATCCCAACAATTGTATCAAAATCGAATTTTTGACCAGAGTATTTTTTATATATTCATCCAAGGGAGAGTGTTATAAATATTGTATTTGATATGAATGCTTATTATACACAAATAATGACGTAAAGTATCAAATAGTATTGAATATGACATTACTATAAAATGAATAATAACCGTATTTAATAGGGCATTCGAAAAGCCAAATTTTCAGCTTTTCGTAGTTTGTTTCTTCGCCTATAAAGGACACTTCTCATATTCAATGAGGAGTGTAGAAAAAATAGATAGAAAGAGAGTTTTGAAGTATTTTCTAAAATTTCTTTCATTCAGTTTTGTGTTATTTAATTTATATTCAGTTAATTTAGCTATTTCACAACATGGATAAGTAAGTTGTTCCACAATAATACTCTCCAATTAGGAATTTTGTGTCATTTAGAAACATTGTTAGGGGTTACCAGATGATAAATCCTTATATTCTAGGGTTTTATTTTAATTTATCCAAAGTTGAATCCCGTTCAATTTTGCTAGAAATTAGGTAATCGGTGTTTGAACGTACGATGTAAAATAAGTGAGTAAGTGATGAATTTAGAGAATAAATTTAATGTGAATAATTTTGCGAGAAGTATTGCTAACCGTTGAATAAATTTATTTGAAACTGTTAAATAAATTTATTAAAATTCGATGTATTTTATATCACTAATGTTATTGAGATATAATTTAGAGACATAATGAGTTGTCACCAATAAAATGATAGTGAAATATATTTAATGAAAAATGAATTCCATTGTAGCATTAATGAATTCATTATCATATTATTGATGATAACTTATTATATTCTCAAATTATGTTCAAAAATTATATTTCAACAACATTGGTTATTTTATATTGATATACGAAGATGGGCAAAATATTGAATTTGGGAGGACCCCGGTCCCTCCGCTAGCAGTCTCTCACGGGCCCCACCGTGCTGATCACTGAACTCTTCCTACGCAAGGAATAACTTTTCGCTTTCTTGCTTTCCAAGATCAGTACCACTGAACTCCGGTCCGAACTCCTCACACACACACACACACAAACAATGGGACTCCAAGAGATGTCAAACGACGACGCACACCACTCTCTCTCCAAACCCTCCACAATCGGCTCCTCCGTAATCCCAATAATCAACAAGCTCCAAGACATATTTGCTCCTCTCGGCGGCACCGAACTCTCCCAAATACGCCTCCCTCAGGTGGCCGTAATCGGTAGCCAGAGCAGCGGCAAGTCCAGCGTCCTCGAAGCCCTCGTCGGCCGCGACTTCCTCCCCCGTGGCTGCGGTATCTGCACTCGCAGACCCCTCGTTCTTCAGCTGGAAAATCGGCCGGTCCAGTCCGATTCGGATGATAATCGGGAATGGGGCGAGTTTGGGCATTTGCCCGGAAAGCGATTCTACGATTTCTCGAAAATTCGCCGCGAAATTCAGGTAGCTTAATTGTTGTTAGTTTGTTTGTTTGCATGAAAGGTTTTAATGTTTGTGTTGATTTTGTTTTGTTCAATTCTTTGCTCAAGTGTGCGTGTGATGTGGATGAGCCGTCTGGTTTTTATTTACGGGAACTTATTGTTTCTTCGCATGACATAGTTCTCTACAACCTCCGCACACTCCCTCATGATGTGGCCATGCAACGCGAGCAATCAAACTGCAAAAGCCCACATCGTTTTTGATTTTAGTCGTAGATGGCAACGGAGCTGGTAAAAAATGGTCCTCTAGAATGAGAAATAGTAGCCCATTACCTCTGTGATTTACAAACATGGAACAATCAATAGAGAAGTCTGGTGCACGAGTATAAAATATGTGGGTAAGATATGTGCAAACTCATCCCGCATGCAGAGAGGTTAGAGATGGAAATGAGAGGGTGTATGTTCTTTCCTTCATTTGAACATGTTACGGGGTTACGGCGGGAACAAAAATGTTGAGCCATAGATTTCTAGGTGAAAATCGTGTTGGGAGAGAGGGGAGTCCAACTTTAGTCCCAATATACATGTTTGGAATTCAAATCTACCTAAAAGCTTAAAAATGTGTAGGTATAGAGCTCATTCATAATCTATTAAGACTATTTCAATTATTTTTTCTTCCGAGGTGGGATTGCTACATGTGATAAGCTCAACAGTCTCCCTCTATGTGTGGATCACATTGGCCTTCAAGTCCCCGTTATGTTTGCTTCATCCCTGTCCACAATCATCATGTCCGAATCACTCTTTAAACCCCAATGTTAAAACATGTATTGATTTTAAAAATAATGTGTCATGTATTGTATCGTATTTTGTATTATAAGATATGTGCAATTTTACAAAATATATTCAAAAATATATATATCTATGAAAAAAGGTCATAATAACATTTCATTTCACCTCACATTTCACAAAAAACATAATTTAAAGAGCTACAAGGTCCAAAAAAAAAAAATAATAGTAATTCAACTATTCAAATTTGCAACATAATTCATTAATATAAAAAGAGACTTTTAGTTCTAATTTCTAACATCCATAGGAGCCAAATGAGAAGATTTTGAACAATCCAACTATTTGAGGAGATGATGGAATGAACAACAAAAGAAGACTTATATAATTTAAAACCCAAGCTACTGAAATGACGTTGTTTCATTTTAAAAAAAGTTACATACATGCAAGAATCAAAATATCGTTTCGAAATAGTCGAAACATCCAAAATATTTTCGTTTTCATGGAGATCAAAACGAATCAGTGATGAAATCGAAATTTTAATATTTCGAGGTGTTCCATAATATTTTGAAATGTTTTGTTATATTTTAATGCATTTTTACAATTATTTTAAAATGTTTCAAAGTGTTTCAAGATATTTTGGTATATTTTGACCAATATTTTGAAAAAATAATTCTTAATTTTTTAAATATTTTTTCAGTATGTTTTTGAAACGTTTGTGAAACACGTTGAAACGTTTTTGTTTTCTAGGTGACTGAAACAATGCACCAAAACAAAATTTTGATCCTTACATACATCCAAATTGACGTTGTTCCCTACTTAAAATCCCAAAACGAAAAATTGAACTGTTTTGCCCACTATCGGGATCAGGTGACTTGTACGTGTCGTCTTGTATCGTGTGTCTCGCACGATACGGTTCAAATTTGATACATATATGTGATATGTATCGTTTTCTTTATGTGTCGAAACGTATTGTGCGATACATATCGCATATGTTACGACACATATTGCGTATGGTATGATACTACCACCCATGAAGAATCCACTCTTTCAAGAACAAAGCAATCACTGCATAATCACTCTATCGAGTGTCTCTGTGTTTCCATGATACTGACACCAAGAGTGCATCAGCGTTCGTAGGAGAAATCATCGATATTAGTATCCTGCATTGCTTCTCGAAGAGATTACCTAAAATTGTCCGTCATCGATTTGATTCCATTTGTTGTGAGATATATCAGGCTTAGTATACGCGTTTGGAAGTCAAACTTACCTAAATACTTAAGCTTGTAATGGTGAGCACATTCATAGTGTATAATAAAACCATTTCGATTATTTTGCCTTCTGTAGTAGTATGTGGGATTCCCGCACTTGATATTTCAATAATGTTTTGGACAAAGCTTGTTTGTCCTTTAGTTGGACAATTGGATATCTAGGAGATGCAAATGTTAAAAGCTGCTAAAAAGGAATGAATTGTCACCTCTCCACGACTTTTCTTTTACAAAACCAACAAGCGCCTCATATTACTAATTCTTTTTGTTTTCCTTTATATTTTGAGTTTACCTAATTTATTGAATTAGTGGTTCATTTAGTGAAGCAGATTTGCCTTTTTTTTATTTAGTACATTCTCTTTGAGAGTTTTCCCCTGTTAGTGCAGGCTGACACTGAAAAACAAGCAGGATTTAGCAAAGGAGTTTCAGATAAACAAATTCGATTAAAAATTTCCTCTCCAAATGTTCTCAATATAACTCTTGTCGATCTGCCAGGGATTACTAAGGTTCCTGTGGGAGATCAACCCAGTGATATAGAAACAAGAATCAGGAAGATGATAATGTCGTATATCAAACAGGAAACAAGTATCATATTGGCTGTTAGTCCTGCAAATTCAGATTTGGCAACTTCTGATGCATTACAGATGGCTAAAGAGGCAGATCCGAATGGTATAATTTTTTTTATGAAACTTGTTTTTGGCTACATGACTGGGAGTGTGTTTCATCGATTTTTCTTAGCTAGTATTTTGTTGCAATAAGTATACGCACACAGACACACACATCCGCACATGGCAATCTTCACATGTGGTGTATTAACTTCATGAATTGTTTAAACAGGTTCTCGGACAATTGGTGTAATTACCAAGGTTGGTGTTTCATTTGTACTAGATGAAGAAGCTTTTATTTTTCCTTCTCTGTGGTTAAGATTGGTTGACATCATTGTTATTTTCTTGAAAAGCAATGTCATTTGGCAGTTTTTTGGATGTAGTTAGATATAATGGACAAGGGTACCGATGCTCGGCACTTTCTGCTTGGCAAAGTCATTCCACTTCGCCTAGGATATGTTGGTGTTGTGAATCGCAGTCAAGAGGTGAACTCTTGACACCTTTTCATTTGTGATTCTGATGGTATTTCCTGTGTTGCTTTTCACCTAGAAGTACGAATATGGACACGAGAAAAGGGACAACCCGAACACATGGATATAACATTTCTCATAAGTAGTATTCAGATACATCGTGGACATGTTACAAATAATTTTGTTTTTAATGAGAATTTTGGACTGATAGATTATAATAGTCCATTATGATCAATTTGTTTGTCCACAATGTGTAGCAAACATACCCAATTGTAACAATTGCTTCCATCTTTCCATATCTTTTGATTCAGTGTAATATTTTCATCTCTTGATGTTGTTAGCAACTTTCAAGTAAAATTTTTGATATGATTGGTTTTAACAATTATATCCATTGTTTCATATTAAAAAATAATCCTTTGTGAAAATTTTAAGTGTCGTTAATGACATATCTACACATGTTTATTTTTTAGTCATGGACACAACTAAAGAATTGTCGGGCACGTCAATAAAGGAGTGTCGGGCACGTCACTAAAGGAGTGCCAACATGCATTCAAAATTAAGATTTTTTCTTGTAGTTATTAACATGGCTAAAAGAATATCGAAAATGTGTTTAGGAGCATCCAGAAGTGTAGGTTTTTGACACATCTCCAAAATGGACAAGGTCTGTGCTTCTGAGCTATGCACCAGTAGCTTTGTCAATACACTCATTGGCCCTCTGAAGATTTATAACTTTTTGAGACGCTAAAGTTTTCATCGAATTGTTAATTGTTTCGTACTTCTATGATTTTCTTCAACGATAAATCTCTCTATCAAAAATACATGATATTTACTGCAAAAGTAAGACATGTTTTCCAGGACTTGTACGATTTTCTTTAACCACAAATAATGTCTCAGATACAAGGTTTTCAATGCAAACGTATGACCTTTTCACATGTACATGTTTTGAGGCCTTTTCACAAGTAAAAAATAAAAGTTATATTAGTGCCCCTTGTTTCAACTTACTACATTTTCAGACGATATGTCAACCATTTTCATGCATTTGGTTGCTTATAAATATCTTAATTTTTTTTCTTTGGAAAACTGAAAATAACTTACAAATCCTGAAAATGGGTGATCTTGTTGTACTTTATTTAATCTTATGTAGGCCTATATTTGTGTCTATATGCATGTCTCTATAAAAGTTTATCAGGTATTTTTTGTAATATCTGTGAAGTATTTACAAAGCTTCAACAAATAATCAATCTTGATAAAAAGGAGCGCGAATCTAATTGAGTTATAAAACAGCTGCTAATCTTCTTCTTTAGTAATCTCTTAGTGATCCCAGTGATTTTCATGTAGTATTTGCATATGCATATAACCCCTCTACTCTACTAAATGGTACTGTTCACTAGATGGTTGCAGCATGGGATGAAGTGGCCTTTCAGGAGGCTAGGGGGAAGGGCCTGGTGTAGCTTTCTCCAATATCATATCCGGGTGTGGGGTAGCGTTCTTGGGTTATTATGTAGGAATTTTTCTTTATGTTTATGAATTGAAGTACAAATGGGTGCCTGTAGATGCTTTGTTGGCACTCCTTGTAGTGGAAGGATAAGGGCAATTTTTCGTATCGAGAGGCTGAAACTTTTTTGTCCTGGTTTTCAGTTCACTTTTGCAATTGTTATTTTCTAATTTAGGAGTGTATGTGAATTAGAATCTCGGTGATACTTCTGTTAAAATTTTTTTATTACCAAAATGATGAGTTGTCTTATGCTGCCTTCATATTAAATAGTCTTTCAGGTTGTGAGGTGTTCATTCTGTTATTTGTCTGTTACAGGACATTAATAAGAACCGTAGCATTGCTGAAGCACTTGCATATGAGGAGCAGTTCTTCCATGATTATCCTGTACTTTTCACTTTTGAACATAAATGTCCTGATGTCAATCGTTGAATTAATTTGTGTAGGTTCAAAAACATCTTACATTTGTTGAATGCCATGTGATAGATATATAGAGGTCTCTCTGACCGATGCGGCATCCCCCAATTAGCAAAGAAGTTGAATGAGGTTGGTTCACTATCCATTTTTTCTCCTTCTCCCTTGGTTGGTTGTTACTTGCCAATTGATTTGCTAAGTTTCTATTTTATATATTAAGCTTTGGATTGTCTAAATACAGGGAAATTAATTTTGAAATGAGGATTTCCATTCATGTGAAATATTAGTTATACAAGAGACTGATGCAAATATTGTAGGAGTTTACTGCCTTCATGTCTCAGTTCAAAGCTATAGTTTTTTGCACATCCCCATTATGTGAGATGCATACTTGGGTAAATGATTAAGTCAATGATTTGTTCCTCAAGCTTGTAGAAAAATGAAAACCACTTGCTAGAAAAAAGGAACATATAAGTTCAGGGCCTTCTATGGTTGGGCATTCAACGGTTGGTTGGTGCTGCTAGGAAGGTATGGAGGATAGCCCCTCTTTGCTTGTCTGGTGCTTATAAGAGAGGAAATAGAAGGGCGTGAGGGTAGAGAGATGCCTATTTTTTGAGTGAAAAGCTCTTTGCGATGTAGTCTGCTTGTTTGAGTACTTGCAATTGTTCTTTTGGTTCTTGGGTGGACTTTTTTTTGAGGATATTATCTTCCTGTAGATGGATAGCTTCTTTTTACACTTCAAATGCACGGGTAATGCCCCTCGGTGTTGCATAGTAACTTTTCGCCAATAGTAGAACATTCCAGCTTTAAACTTGTCCATTCCTGGGTTGATTATTGTTTTGACAAGAATATGGCGGTGTTTGGTTTGTCTCAAAACCAGTTTTTTGTTCTCTGAACACAAATTCTTGTTAGATGTTGTTTGGTTAGTAGTTTCCAAAAACAAATTTTTTAAAAAAATGGGAATTGAGAACAAAAAATAGAAAACATCTAAATGATGTTCTGAGTTTTCAAGCCAAAATAGAAAACAAGGGAAACAACCCCTCCTCTTTAATGAGGTCCGCCCATCGAACTTTCTTAGCAGCAAAACACATTTTTTTCGTTGAAGTATACAAGCCCTCCACTTAAATGTTTTGTCCATCTCCTCTCTCTCTCTCTCTCTCTCTCTCTCTATCTCTCACTCAGCAATGATTGCTGTGCTGCTTCAATAGAGCAATGATTGCTGTGCTGCTTCAACCGAGCAATGATTGTCGTGCTGCTTCAACAGAGCAACGATCGCTGTGCTGCTTCAACAGAGCAACGATTGCTGATTCAACAGAGCAAAGAAGTCCGGCGACTTCTCTGACGAACTGGTTTCAACGATCTGGTTTCAACATCTTCGGTTTTTTTTTGTTTTGTTTTTGGCATCTTGCTTTAGATCTTGAAGGAGATACACGTAGTGGGTTTTTTTTGCATCTGGCTTCAGATCTTGAAGTATGTTGATGGATTTATGGGTTAAGAATTATGGATTACGAATTTGGGTTATGAATTTAATTTATGGCATCTGGTTTTTTTCTTGATCTATCTTCTCTCTCTCGTCTGCTCAATCTCTCGTATCCTCTCACTCAACAAGTATATATACCGATATATGTACAGATCTATATATATACACAGATATGTGTATATATACAGATGTGTGTGTATATATATGCATATATATATGTGGGATGTCTGTGTGTGTGAGTGTGTATATGTGTGTGCGTTTGTGTGTATTTTTACTCGGTGTGTTTTGTGGAGAGAGAGAGGGGGAGATGAGAATTGGGGATTTTGTGGATTATTATCCATATAGGTTGTACAAATTTTTGTTTTTTAAAACTATTTTTCAAAATATATAACCAAATAGATTTTGCAATTTAAAATTTTCAAATACACTTTTTTAAAACTCTTCTCAAAAGCTGTTTTTGATTACTATTTTTTGAGACGCAAACCAAATAGGGCCTATATCTCTAAGGTTAAATGCTCTACTGTTGTACAAATTCTATATTCCCTTTCTCCTCCATTTGATAGGAAATAAATGTGAAGTTGGTGCAAGGAGAGAGCAAATCTCATTCTTATTCCCACCTCATAGTATTTCGTATCTTTTGTTCTAAGTTGGTAAATTTAGACAAGGGTTGAACTTAGGTGTATGGCTACCACTAAAAAAAGNTAGTATTTCGTATCTTTTGTTCTAAGTTGGTAAATTTAGACAAGGGTTGAACTTAGGTGTATGGCTACCACTAAAAAAAGAGAGTTAATCATCGGTTCATTATGCTGGATGGATCCAGTGCATAATCTGTAAGGGGTCTTGATTATCAACAAAATTTCTGCCAACTAGTTCCTCTTCCTGCTGTCCCCGTGAGGCAGAGCTACCGCCGGTATTAGGGGCTGCGTTAACCGAAGGCGATTTTCCAATAGCTAAGCTATAACTTTGACGTCAAGACTTCTAGATATTGTGTACGTATCAGTTTTCTTGAAATTTGTAATAATTGAGGACAATATAAATCCAACAGTAATTGATTATACCCTGTTTTATCAACTCTTAGAATTCATAGCTGTAATAAGCAAATACATGATCTGCTAAGAAAAAAACTCAACATATTCTAAGGGGAAAAATAATAGAGAAGTTCCTTAATTTGCATATAGTCTAAAGTTTCTTGAGCTTCTCCGAATGACATAGATGCTTCTGCAGGGAAAGCAACCTGTTAAAAACGGAAAGTCAAGATAGAGACATATTGGGTTTCAATGGAAACAAGGCATGCTTCTCTTCACTAACATTCGAGAATAAAAGAATACAAATGTAGCACAAATTCTGTAGAAATTATGTGTATCCAGCCAAAACAATGTCACAGACCTCATGACCACTCGGTTAGATAGAAGTAGAACTGATACCCCTAAAACCTAAGAAGCACGGATATTTGGCGGGAGGTCGACGTAGCGGTGTCGGACACGGATATGCGTAGGACACGGCCGGACACGTGTCTGACACCTCTAAAGGTGTCTTGAATAGTGAACAGAGATTTTTTGTTGCCAGACACGGCTCGGATACGTAGGGATACGGGGGGATATGGGGATAAGGGGCTGAAAATTAGGGAAAAAAAAAGAAAAAAAAGAAAGAAAATTTTGACGATTTGCTAGATCTGCTTTGACAAAGAGTAGAGAAGAAGAGGCAAATGGACATCCCGGATCTGTTTCGTCGATCAGCTTTCAACGATCTGCTTTGATGAGCTTCAACGATCTGTTTAGACGAGCTTCAACGATCTGCTTAGACGAGCTTCAGCGATTTGCCTTCAAGGATTTGCATCAGTGATCTACCTTCAAGGATCTGCTTCAACGATGTGCTTCAACGATCAGATCTGCATCCTTTTTCTTCCTCTCTCCTCCTGCTTCCTGAGACAGTGTCGGCTGTCCAAGGATTCTTTTTCTTTTTCTTCTCTCTCGTCTGTTCATTGATTGAACAGAGACGATACTAGCCAAAAAAAAGAAGAGAGAATTACACTCAAACATCTTTGAAGTTTGTCACTTAATCACTCAGATCCCCTGACAGTTGAAATATTACACACAAACCCTCTGAAATTTGTACGCACGTAACACTAGACCCCTGGTGTAAGTATATCCGTTAATAAATTACACATAAACCTCCTAAAGTTTTTAAATATATATTATTTAAACCCTTTAAGTTTAAAATGTTATACTTAGACCTAAAATACTTCAATTAAAGATAAAATATCAAATATTTTAAATTTGTAATTAAAATTCATGTTCTATTATATCATTTATTGAAATAAAATAAAAAGTAAAAATTTAATTTTAAAAAANTAAAATACTTCAATTAAAGATAAAATATCAAATATTTTAAATTTGTAATTAAAATTCATGTTCTATTATATCATTTATTGAAATAAAATAAAAAGTAAAAATTTAATTTTAAAAAAAAAAATCGTAATTAGTATACAATTAGCCCATTGTCCAATTATAAAATATTAACCAACTCCTCAAGGATTGTTAGGTCTTATCATTAATGTTATTTGCATAAAAAATATATAATATTATTTTAATTAGCTGTATCCTTGCTGTACCCGTGTCTGTATCGTATCGAATACAACACTTGTGTCTGTATCCATGCTTCCTAGCCTAAAACGTTGTAATCCGTTCTGAACCCTTGATCATCCTACCACCATGACATTTCCCAATCCTCAGATGAGCTAGAGCTGTCTCTCTCTCCGTATACATAAATATTTGAATACATAAGTGAAAGGTCGCCCCTTATATGATGCCAAACAATATGCCGGTTCCCATGAGCCTTTCACCACTTTGCATTTATATCATCACATTTCTTTTTAACCAAATCATCCTTCTTGGCAAGAATTTGCATAGTTGCACAATTCCAAAGAGTAACCCACCTTTCTTGTTCATTCCATGACACTTAAATCACACAATGAATATAGGAAAGAAAAAACAAGGAGTAACCCACTCACTTCAATCCTGCCAAATAAAAAAAATCACAAAGACAATGCAATAGGGCCATGCAAAACTAAGGGCCTGTTTGGTTTGCGTTTTAAAAAATAGTATCCAAAAATAGTTTTTGAGAAGAGTTTTAAGAAAGTGGTTTTGATATTTTTTGAGATAAAAAACTTGTTTTGTTAGATGATTTCAAAAATAATTTTACAATACAGAAAATAGTAAAACTTGTTTGGACAGTTTAAATATATATTTGAATAGTAATTCAAATATTAATAAAAAAAATTATNGCTGTATCCTTGCTGTACCCGTGTCTGTATCGTATCGAATACAACACTTGTGTCTGTATCCATGCTTCCTAGCCTAAAACGTTGTAATCCGTTCTGAACCCTTGATCATCCTACCACCATGACATTTCCCAATCCTCAGATGAGCTAGAGCTGTCTCTCTCTCTGTATACATAAATATTTGAATACATAAGTGAAAGGTCGCCCCTTATATGATGCCAAACAATATGCTGGTTCCCATGAGCCTTTCACCACTTTGCATTTATATCATCACATTTCTTTTTAACCAAATCATCCTTCTTGGCAAGAATTTGCATAGTTGCACAATTCCAAAGAGTAACCCACCTTTCTTGTTCATTCCATGACACTTAAATCACACAATGAATATAGGAAAGAAAAAACAAGGAGTAACTCACTCACTTCAATCCTGCCAAATAAAAAAAATCACAAAGACAATGCAATAGGGCCATGCAAAACTAAGGGCCTGTTTGGTTTGCGTTTTAAAAAATAGTATCCAAAAATAGTTTTTGAGAAGAGTTTTAAGAAAGTGGTTTTGATATTTTTTGAGATAAAAAACTTGTTTTGTTAGATGATTTCAAAAATAATTTTACAATACAGAAAATAGTAAAACTTGTTTGGACAGTTTAAATATATATTTGAATAGTAATTCAAATATTAATAAAAAAAATTATTTTTAGATTGAAAAATTCATAAAAAAAAAATTCAATAAACTAAACTTTAAAATATATATATATATATATATATATATACGTATATACGTTTTTATATATACATGTATAAATAAATGTGTGTATATATATATATATACAT